CCCCTCTAATGCTCCAGCGCTCTGCAGCAAAGTGGGGGGCCCCCTATACCCTGGGGGGCCCCCTTCCAGGGGGGGGGGCCCCCTATACCCTGGGGGGCCCCCTGCTATTGGTAAGGGGCCCTCAATAATGAGGGGGGGCCCCAACTGGTCACAGTCAGGGGGCCTCTGTACATTAAGAAGAGGCAGCAGATCCTCGTTGCTGCTGCTGCATGCAGATTGACAAACCACCGAACTGTTCAGGTATAAAGCAGACGCACACTCAGACTGCTTGGGCTGCTGCTGCTGCTGCTGTTGCTGCTGCTGCTGCTGATGCTGCTGAGGCTGCTGCTGTTGAAACACCCAGGAAGCCCCCGAGTTCGGCATCGCATCCATTGTATCAGGGGAGGTAGGGTTAGGGTTTAGGGCTCATCCGCCCTAAACCCTAAACCCTAAACCCTAGACTCTACACCCTACTTTGCCTCCAGGATGCAGGAGTGGCTCTATCTGCTTCAAACCTTCCCGATGTTTCCAATTCTAAACCCTAAACCCTAAACCCTAAACCCTCAGGCCTTAGCATGTGCGGTAACAGCAACCCCTTGCGGTGTGCAGACAGCTGAGGGTTTAGTGAAGTTGTTGTTGTTGATGGAGATATTAAAATTTTATTTTAAATATTTAAATATATTAATTTGAATGAATTGGTGCTGAGACACTTCGATAAAGAAAGAAGAAAAGGATCGCTGAGGTGTATAGACACCTGAGCTGCAAGACAAACAGAAATAAAAATTAATTTAATATCTCCTCAGTCAATAAACAATTAAATTTGAATGCAAATTCAATTAATAAGCATCAAGACACCACAAAATCGATAGAAGAAACGAAAACACAATCACTCTCGCAGTAAGACCTCAAGGGGCCCCCGATGGGGGGGCCCCCATGGGGGGCCCCATGGGGGCCCCAATAGGGGGCCCTTATGGGGGGCCCCCGTTGAGATATATAAGAGGGGCCCCCCAAAGCTCTGGGAGGCCCCCCTTCTATATGGGGGGGCCCCCTTATATATGGAGGGCCCCCCTAAACCCTTTGGGGGGCCTCCCTAGAGGTATATATATAAGGAGGCCTTGCTCTGCCTTAGCGTAGGTGTAGATCTTATTAGTTAGATGTTTGTTTGTATGATAAGATATTTAATATTTTGTATTTGTCTGTATTAAGTAACCCATAAAATAAATAAAGACAAAGAGAAGAAGAGCAAAGACAGAAGAGAAATCTTGAAAGCATTGTTTGTTGTTGTTTTGTGTCTAGGGTTTAGGGTTTAGGGTTTAGGGTTTTACAGTTAACGGTTTACGGTTTAGGGTTTAGGGTTTTAGGGTTTAGGGTTTAGGGTTTTGTTTATTTTGTCTCTAATATTTGTCTTTAACTGTCCGGTGTTGCTCTGTACACCGCAACACTTAAAATAAAAAAGAAGTTTAAAAGAATGATAAAGCTAAAAATACAGACAAAGGAGGGTGCTAAGCGTAAGGGAGGTAAAAGGCATAGAAAGACGCATGCACAACATTCAAAATAAAAGTTTAAGTAATTAGATTTAGAGCAGAAGGAGTATATGCATATATATATATATATATATTTACATAAATATATATATAAATATATATATATATATGTATATATATATTTATTTACTTAGGTAGCAGCTCCAATAGATTGTTTCCTTCAGATAAGAATAGATATATTAAAGTATAAAGTGCAGCATACCCTCTCTAATGTTTATATAAATATATCTTTCTAGGTTTCTCTTAGCCCTTGAAAGGCAATTAAGCGTTATAAAACTTAATCAAAAAATTTGTTGGGGTGTATATACACCTCAGAGATTAAACAAACCACCTCAGCCTCGTCATATGAGAAGTAAGGAGACAGATGTTAAACAAAGATATACATAAATATATATATATATATATATTTTATGTTGCTCTAACGAAGGCTATTCAAATGGGGGGAGGAAGAAGAAGAAAGAACAGAGGGAGGGGAGGAGTTATGAAGGGCAGCATCTGCTGCTGCTGCAGCAAACAAGGAGACGTAAGTCTTTATTTATGTCTCTTTGTTTGCTGCTGCTGCAGCAAACAAAGAGACATAAGATGAGATAACATACTCATCAAAGAAACAAAATAATTGATGAAAAGAAAGCCCCGACAAACTCTCTGAACGCAGCAAATTTAACGCTCAGGGCACCCATAGAATGCACGGCGCTAAGTAGCAGCAGCAGCTGCTGCTGCTGCTGCAGCTGCAGCAGCAGCTGCAGCACCAGCAAAAACAGCAGAAAAAGCAAAATGTTGTTTTCGTCGTCTGCTGCGTGGGCGCAGACTCTTTGCTGCTGTTGCTGCTGCTGTGCAGCTGCTCTGCAGCAGCTATGCAGCAGCAGCAACAACAATAGCAGCAACAGCAGCAGTTGAACAAGTATTAAAATTTGATTTATTATGATTATAATAATAAACAAGTATTTCGTATCGTTGTGCGCATATTTTATTTTTTATGTTTTTAATGAAGTGTTAGCTTTGCTCTTATCATCTTCATTAGGAGAAATACTATTGAAAATAAACATAAGAAGAAGCAGCAAGAAGCTTTATAATATTATAATTAGCTGTCTCTAATATTCTTCATTTTGCTTTCTTACAACGGGTTAGACTAGAGTAGCTACTGTCCCCTTAAGAAGTAAAGAGCCTCCTAACTGCAGCAATTTATTGAAGATTGTTTGTTCTACTATTATACGAAAAAGAAGTAGAAGCTTCTTTACAGCAAATATATTAAATTAATTAATATGTCTTCTTTTTAATACAGTATATTTACTATAAAAGGCCCAATCTTCTACGCTGTCTTCTCAGGTGTACAGACAGCAGCGTTCTGCATGCATATCTGCAGCTATCAACATTTTCAAATTAATGAAGAGCAGAGTTTTATATTCAGATTGTAGAAGAAGTGATAAGAATTGTTTAGATAATATACACAAGAAATACAGAAAAGAAACTAAGGAGGCTAAATTTATTTTTAGTTGTTAAACTTCATTAGAGACGCATCTTCCTCTCCTCAATGCCTTAATAAAATAATAATGATAGATATAATATATTCACATTATATATATAAAAATAATTATGATAAATGCAAAGGATGGAGGAAGTCTGCTCTTCTAAGAAGTTCTTATAACAAGCATCTTAAGCTAAGCTATCATTAGACTGCAGACAACTCTAACATACAACTCTTCTAATATCTGCAATCTGCACTAAGACGTTATACTTTTTCATGATTTTGTGTGTATAGACAGACGGAAAGAAAACAGTAATAGTTTCTGCGTGCTGTACTTATATGCAAATACTCCGCACATAAACAAGGCTGGCTGGCTACGAAAATCTCGTGTCTGTGATGTATGGGAGCTGAAAATAATTACGTAATATCCTATTTGTGTGACAATATAATCTTACGCATGCGCTGTATATTTATATATGTATATATATAGTGTTATATGTACATATATGTATATATAACGTTATACATATAGTGTTATATATATGTATACACACACACATATATATCTGTATATAATATATATATATAGTTTGCCCCCCCGAAGCCCTCTTGATCTGTATTTGCTTAATGAATAATGTGTGTCTGTTGCATGCCGGGGCTGAGTATCTTCTCTGAAATTAATAAAAGAGACTGAATGAACTTCAAAATAAAGAATAAAAAAAGAAGAAAATGCAGTTAAAGAAGCAAATGATATAGGTGTGTCTAATGTATTAATTTATAAGGCACAGCAGTGTTGGGGCTGGTGAGGCGGTGTGCATATATGAATGGAGGGTGTAGCGGACGATATCAGCTGTATTTATGTAGAGAATGCTGGAATCTTTTGATTAATATATTTTAGTTTTTAAATGCATTTCAAAGAGGCAATTGAATTCCTTACAACTTGCACCTGTATTTGAACTGATAAAGCACCCATGGAGTTGCAGTGTATAGGCACTCATCTCGCCACCTGTGCGTTGATGAATTGAACGCTTCTTGTATTTCTTGTTTTTTATTTGCATATCATGGGTTTTCCCTTGCTATATTTCGTCTTTTTTACATTATATCTCTCTATTATACTCACCTACACCACCGGATCAGCAGCAGATCCGCAGGCATCGACATGTTCAGCTTCTGCTGCCAACTGGAGGTTTCCGCTCGTGCACGATGACAGGTTGACCTGCCTATACACCCGAGATGAAGAACTTGAGTTTCAAAGGGAAGCTGCTTCAAATGCCGTCATTCGATCTTTGGAAGACAAAGTAGTGCGACTTCAGCAAATTGTGGATGATCTGCAACAGTGAGTTCCCAGAGATACACCAAAACAAACATCTTTGTCTCTTGAATTCCTGCCTTTCTGTTCGCTTTCCTCCTCTTAGCAACAAATTTCAAAGGCCTATTTATACTTTTTTGCAGAGGTTTCTGCTAGTTTCATAAGGGATGAAGTATCGCCTGCGGCTTCGAGCCTCTGGCTGGCTCACCACCTAACCACCGCCCCTTCTGTCAATTCGTCTGTTTCTGCGTTTGTTTGTCTTTTATCCTCCCTCTAATGCCTTGTGACTGCGCATGCACAGGCAATTAAGCAGCCGGGAGAAGCAGCAGCAGCCTGCAGCAGCTGCACCTGCTGCTGCTGCTCCTGCTGCTGCTCCTGCTGCTGCTCTTCAATTCATCCAGACGCCCGTAGGCGACGCCCAGGACATTCTTTTTGCTGTCAGGCAGATAGAGGCAAGTTAAGAGCTCAAGGAGTTTAAACCCTGTGCCTTGCTCGCCTGAAGCCCCTCTCTTTTTTTCACTACTCCGTTGCCGGACCAGCAGCAGCAGCACCAGCTGCAGCAGCAGCAACAGCGGCACCAGCAGCAGCAACCACAGTTTCAGTATTTGAACAGGGACTGCAGAAGGCTGTTGCGAGGTAGCGGGATAATATGTGCTGCGTTTTCTGCATTTTTTCTTGTTTTGTTCGATGCTTTTTGTGCTGCAGTTTGCCTCTCATCCATATTTCATTGAACTCATCTCCCTCACTCGCAGAAGAAACGAAGCTCTTTCACTCGGTAATCACAGCCCCACAAAACCCCTAACCTTTTAAGCCCTACCTCTGCAATCCTGTCGTCAGCTAGATAGCTAGCTACGTAGGTGGCTAACTAGCTAGCTAAGTAGCTGGCTAGCTAGCTAGCTAAGTAGCTGGCTAGCTAGCTGGGTAGCTAGCTAGCTCTGCCTCCACGGTTAACTGCGTGTGGGTTGTATGTAGCTGCATGTGCACGGAGTTTTAGCTAGCTGGCTGGCTAGCTGGCTTGACAGCTGAGTATAACTCCGTATCTAAATATATATCTCAATATATATCTAAATATATATATACATATAAATAAATATATAAATATACATATACCTAATATAATATATATATATATAGTTATGCGTATCTTTGCGTTGCTTACAGCTTTATCACCTGTCCTTGCAGTGGTGTGTTCTCGCGCTGGGGATTTAGAAGTTAGAAGTCTGTTTGACTCCTCTCTTTTTCTGCGTTTGAAGCTGCCTCATGCAGCGCCTGTACAGACATTATCAGTGTTTCCCCAGGGAGACGGTGAGGCGTGAGGAGAGTAGGATTTGCTGCTGCGGTGTCTGTGGAGCTCTAGCTCTCCCTGTGCATGCATGCATGCATAGATGCATGCATGCATGCATGCATGCGCTTCCTCAGCTGTCTGTACAACCCAACTGTGGGGTATGCAGCTGTGGGGTGTGCTGCGCATGCAGCCTTTGCAGTACTCACAACAGATGAAGCTGGGATCGCTCGTATCCACATTTTGTCTGTTAGAAGACCCGATGAAGAAACCCCACAAACATTAAGTGAGAGCTCATAGGCATCCATATATATATGCACAAATATATATACATATATATATATATATTTATTTATTTGCTTGTTTGCTTGTTTGTTTATTTACGTATTTATTTATATATTTATATGCTTGTGCATTTGTATATATATATATATATGCACATGTAAATTTATATATTTACATATATATATATTCATACATCTATGTGGATATATATGTATGTATGTGTATATATTTTTACTGATTTATTTATTTTGTTTTGTTTTGTTTTGTTTGTGTCTGTGCATACACTCAGGTGGAGAGACAGCAGAAGAAGTATCTAAGGAGACTCGCGGGCCTTTACATTTAACTCTAACGGCATCATCGTCTTTTAGGGTATATAAAGGGGGGGTAATATTAATCTTTATTGCTGCATTTATATCTGTTTGTCTTGTATATCTTTATCTTCTTCGTATTCAGTAAGAGGGTGTTGTCTCTTTCTCTTCACCTTTTGGGTTATACAACTGCTGCTGCTGCTACTTCTGCTGCTGCTGCTGCTGCTGCTGCTCTTTCTGGTGTATCGACAGGTCTCCCCTGGGGGCAGCAAAAAACATAACTGCATTCTTGCAGCAACAATTCGCGGAGAGAGAATTATTCTCGTCGGTGGCAGCGATGGGGTCCTCAGGTTATTCAACACAAATTATATTTCTATGCAATCCATACACATAAATACATAAATACACCCCTTCACATAAAGGGCTCCCTTCGGGGGCCTCCTTTGGGGGCCCCTCTTGGGGGCCCCATGCAGGAGGGGCCCTTTGCGAGGGCTTCTTTTGGGGGCCCCTTCTGGGGGCCCCCCGTGAGGAGGCCTTTGGGGGGCCTTTTTTTCGCGTTGTTTATTTGATGGTGGTTGAGCGGGCCTCAGCGTGTGGGGCCCCCTCTCCTTGGGGCACTAAAGGAGGGGCCCCTGTGGGAGATGATGGGGGGCCCCAAGGGTTGTTGAGAGCGAACAGCAGCAGTACCCTAACGATCTGCATGCATGCATCTGCATGCATGCAGATGCATATTTCGTAGGGAAATGGCGATGGCGGTTTCTTCAATCGATGCCTCTCTGTCCAAGGAAGGAGGAGACAGTGATTAGGGTTTAGGGTTTAGGGTTTGGGGTTTGTGTGCAGCGTGTTTTCGCGAAGTGGGGCGCTGAAGTCGCAGCTGCAGCTGACGGAGGAAGAAGGGGGCATTCAACATTTAGCTCATCAAGGGGGTTATACGGTGTTTGCAAGTGAGGGTTTAGGGTTTAGGGTTTAGGGTTTAGGGTTTCTTAAATTTGGGGTGTATGCACACCTCGTTTGGGGCTAAAGCAGTATATACACCTCAACAAAATAATTGTTTTATTTGTTGCAGGTAAAAGCTGCGTTGGGCATATAAACCCTATGGCTTCTTCTCCTATGGGGAGGGTTTCTTGTATTGGAGTAAGAAAGTATATATATATATATAATGTATATATATAATGTAGATATATATATATATATATACATATATATAATGCATATATATAATGTATGTATATAAATACTCTTCTTTCTTCTATTTGCTGCTATTTCTCTTTTTATTTCTCTTCTTTTTTTATATAATGCATATATATATACATTATATACATACATTATATATATACATTATATACTCCTTATTTCTTACTACTTCTATTTGCTGTTCTTTCTCTTTTTATTTCTCTTCTCTTTAGAGGCCCTTCTGATAGTTGGCTGCACGTGTTGATGTATGTAGTGTACATACACCTACAGCTGGGGAAGCTGCTGCAACGACAGAAATAAAATAAATTCAATTAAAAGAAATAAAATAAAAGTAAATAAATTAATTAGATAATGAACAGCTGCTAGCTCGAGCTGCAGTTTGGCGGTAAAGCGAAGAGAGAAAGGGAGAGGAGGAGGGGCCTTGGGTTATTTTATTTTATTTTTTTGTTTATTTTATTTTACTTATTTTATTTTGTTCATTTTAATTTGTTTATTTTGTTTTGCTGTTGTTTTGTGTATGTGTGTACACGCGTTTGTTTGCTTATTTCGGTGTATGTGTTCTAGTCATCCCTTTATTGTTTTATTATATAAATACAATCCATGTATTTATTTGTTTATTTATTTAATTTAATTTAATTTAATTTATTTATTTATTTGGTTTGAAATGCTTCTTCCGGTCTTCTCTCTATCATTTTGTAATATAGATGTAAATACATCTACCTAATTTATTTATCTACCTATTTATATACTTATTAATTAATTAATTAATTAATTAATTAATTAATTTATGTACTGCAGATGTCTTCGCCTATCGTTTCTGTTGCTCTCGATAGCAGAAGACCTGGAAGAGGGGCTGTGGGTTTGTATGACGGGCAATTGTTGTACGTTGATCTGAAGACTTGGGCTCGTAAGATTAAATATATTATTATTGTTATTATTATTTATTATTATTATTATTATCTATTATCTGTTATCTACTATTTATTATTATTATGTCTTTGTCAGTCTGTTTATTGCTGTGGGTTTGTATGACGGGCAATTGCTGTATGTTGATTTAAAGAGCTGAGCTCGTAATATTAAATTTATTATTTATTATTTATTTATTTATTTGTTATTATTATTAAGTTATTATTATTATTAAGAAACTCTTTCTAGAGATTGTTTTTTGTGTTTCTTTCCTCGAGCGTCTCTGCTTGCATTTGTGCTGCACTGAGTTATTGACTCCGCTCATTACACTCCGAGACTTCTCTGCTGCTGCTGCTGCTGCTTCTGCTGCTGCCTCTGCTTCTGCTGCTGCCTCTGCTTCTGCAGCTGCTTCTGCTGCTGCCTGTCTCGCCATTCCCTCGTCGTTTCCAGTGCTGCTACTTTTGCTGCTGCTAATGCTGCTGCTCTTAATGGTGTTGCTGCTGCTGCTGCATCGTATTGCTGCTGCGCTGTTTGTGCAGTCCTGCATAAGTTTCCTAGGGTTTTAAAAGGCCCTGTGAGGGTTGTTTTATTTGCAAAGGAGAAACTCGTGGCTGTCTCGCTACCCACCAACCACTCTGCTGCTGCTGCTGCTGCTGCTGCTGAAGTTCCTGCAGCATCAGCAGCAGCAAATGCCTCCGCACAGGTGATGCTGGAACCTAAGGAGAGATACAGAACAGACAAAGCAAGAGAACGAACTCTGTTGCTGCTGCTGCTCCTCTTGCTGCTGCTGCTGCTTGTTGTCTTAGCATTGGTCGTGCGTCCTCATCGATGCTTCCAAGTGGGAGGAACTTCTTCTACTTGCTGCTATTTCTGCTGCTGCTGCTGTTGCTGCTGCTCTTGATGCTTCTGCTACTGCTCTTGCTGCTGCTGCTGCTGCTCTTGATCCTGCTGCACTTGCTGCTGCTGCTGCTGCTGCAGAGGGGTATGGCGGTGTTTAATGTGGCAGCAGTTGATCGACGTGATGCAGTTGGTGGGGCTGAAGCATACTTATTGCCGCTGAATGAAGAGGTGAGTGTGGGGCGCAGGTATCTGCTGTTTGTTTGTTTATATTCCTTTTCTCTTTCTATTTACTCATTTCCAGGCGTTGCTGTGGTTTGCTGCTGCTGCTGCGGCTCTTGCTGCTGCTGCTGCTGCTGATCCTTTTGCTGCTGCTGCTGCTGCTGATGCTCTTGCTGTTGCTGCTGCTGATGCTCTTGCTGCTGCTGCTGCTATTGCTGCTGATGTTGCTGCTGATGCTCTTGCTGTTGCTGCTGCTGCTGTTGCTGCTGACGTTGCTGCTCTTGCTGCTGCTGCTCATGCTGCTGCTGTATCTGCTGCTGCTGCCGCAGATCACTTCCTTCGCTATGCTGCGGAGGACAGGAGACACGACATTGTTGGCCTTGGGTTTATCAGGTAAGGAGACAGACAGCAGCAGCAAACAAGTCGAACAACAACATAATTAAAATAATTATCATAATCATCGTTAATAAAGGAAAAGGAAAGAGAAAACCCTATAAAAACACTTCCTCATTTCACTTAGGGGGGCCCCCTACCACAGGGTTGGCGACTGCTGCTGCAGCAGCAGCAGCAATAGTAGCAGCAGCTGCAGTGATAGTACCACTAGTAGCATCAACAAAAGCAGCAGCAGCAGCAGCAGCAACAACAAACAGCAGTAGCAGCAACGGCAGGAATAACAACAACAGCAATAGCAGCAACAGCAGCAACAACAACAGCAGCAGCAACAACAACAACAACAGCAGCAGAAGTGTCTCTATATGGTGTGGGGTTGTGGGGTGTACAGACAGCGCATTAATTACATTTTTTGAATTGCTGCACAAAGAACAGCAAACTCTCTCTGAGGAGTCTTGGGCTCATCTTCGTTTGCCTATGTACGGATCTATTATTATATTATTTTTATTATTTTTATTATTTTTAATATTTTTATTATTATTTTTATTATTTATTATTCTGATTATTATTATTTATTATTATTACTATTGTTGTTGTTGTTAATAATAATATTATTTGTCTAGGTTGTTACTACGATTATTTATTTGTTGGTGTTAAATAAAATATTTATTATTATTACTATTATTATTATCATTACTCATTACTATTACTAGCGTTTTCATTGCAGTTATTTATTATGATTATTATTATTTTTCTTGTTGTTTGTTTGTTTATTTGTGTGTTGTTTGCTGTTGCTGCTCCTGTTGCTGCTCCTGTTGCTGCTGCTGCTGCTGCTGCTGCTGCTGCTGCTGTTGCTCAGCATGCTGGTGACGATTGTAGTCGCTGTAGGGGCTCAGGTGTATCGATCGAGGAAGAAGGACAAGAGAAAAACCCCTACCTCTTCAGATGCTGCTAGTGGGGTAAGGTATTATTATCATTTATTATTATTATAATTTATTATTATTATTATTATAACTGATTATTAATACTATTATTACTATTTTCTTGTTCTTTTTCTTCCTGTATAGGGACTAGTTAGGGTTTAGGGTTTAGGGTTTAGGGTTTAGCTCTGTAATAAATAACTACAGCTTCATTAATGCAAAAAAAGCATTAATAAATGTTTTTAGTCTGCTCATCTCGTTGTCTTCTTTACTTTGATAACAATGCAGCCCTACTCGCTGCACAGAGTTGCAAAGGCCTAAATCAGCATTTCTTTCCTTTTTACCTCAATTCATGCATGCATGCGTAAATATATGCATGCATGCATGCACGAATGAATGCATGCATGTATGCATTTGTATATATGTGAATTTATGCATGCATGCATGCGTTCACGTGCTGCAGAAGCTTGCTTGCATGCAAAGTTTCTCATATAAACGCATGCATGCATGCATGAACTGGGGCTTGGCTTTGTGTTGCTCTTCGCAGGGTGAGGTGGACGAAGTATGGGCTGAAAGGCTGCAGGCAGAGCGAAGGGCCTTGCTGCTGCTGAAGCAGCAGCAGCAGCAGCAGCAGCAGGGTTCATTTGGTGACCCTGCGATGTGTACAGACACCGAAGAAGAAATGTCTTCGCGAGAAAACTCTGCTAGCTTTTAACTCAAATGAAGATTAAAGATGATGCTTTAGGGTTTAGGGTTTAGTAATTAGACAGATGAGGAAGCAGCTTTAAGGATTAGGGTTTAGGGTTTAGGGTTTAGGGTTTAGGCAGACAGTAGATAACGGGATGTACGTTTGTGGGGTTATTTGTCTTGCATAGAGACTGAAACAAAGAAACAAAAAGAAGAGACATTAGGGTTTAGGGTTTAGGGTTTAGGCTACTTTTCCTTTTTTTCTTTTTTGCCTTTTGAATAAATGCTTAAGGTGCATCCCTATGCACTCTAAGCATAAATTCTGATTTAATTATAATTATTATTATTGTTTAAAGCAGCTACCACGTCATCTCAGTAGCAACACAAGTTGCTGATGAGGTTTATACTGAGGGAAGGAGACAGGAAAAAGAGGCTCCGCAGCAAAGTGCATGCAGCAGCAGCACTATTTGCTGCAGCAGCATGGGAATAAACAAAAGAAGAAAAAGATATAAGACATATAAACGCAATCAGCCCCCGTCTGCTGCATGTATGCACTGATATTTGTTTGCGCTGACGAAGCTGTAGACAGTTGAGTGTATTTAATGCTTTTCTTTCTTTAATATCTTCTTAGATAGACACTCTGCATGCATATGAAAATATATTTTTTAAAAAGATAAATACAGACTCAGTTCGCTGCACATTGGGTTTACACCTTATAGAGACAACCCCTAAAATGAACTAATTATACTTTCACTGAACTCATCAAAATAATTGAACATTGATATTATTATTTAATTAAATATTTTTATTAGCGGAACAAATAACTCAGAGAGCTACTGCTGCTGAGCTAGCGAAAAAACAGGGTTGGTGTACATTGTAAGATCTCTGTCTATTACACAGATAAAAGCCATTAAAAGACTTTTACTTGTTTTAAATTTAAAAACTGAATTAGTATTTATATTCATATGTGCGTACACCCCATCAAACAAACAAAGAAGAAGAAATATGAATAGCGATGCAGCTTTGAGGGGGGTAGGAGGCTAAATTCCCTCTTTATATTAATGCCTTATTTACTTATTAGTTATTTATTTAGTTGTTAAATAAATAAATGAATAAAAAATAAATAGATCAATTAAATTATCAATGAAAGCAATTAAAAGAGTTTCATTGATGTAAGCATCTCAAGTGTATAAACGCAGCAGTTTGTTGTCTGCCCCTCTTAGTTGCATTCACTGCGTCAGTTGTAGTTAATTTCTTTCTTTCTTTTTTATTCCTTATTTTATTATTTAAACTTATTTAATGTTGCTTTTGCTGTATTAATTGTGATTATTGTTTGTCCTGGTGACTTCTTACAGCGTTTGCATGCATGCATAGCTGCGAGAGAAAAGAAAGAAAAAAAGAGTGCATGAATTTCCTGTTGTTATTTCTGTTACTAGGGACTCTGAAGAACGTATATTAATTACAACATCTTTGAAAATGACGTCTCTATTTACTTCTTTATACAGCTATTGCAGTGCATGCATGCACGTGAGGTGTATAGACAGCTGGCTAGCTCTCAATAAACAATACTTTGGTAATGAAACTCTCTATGCAGGAGATATTGTATGTGGGGCTTTCTTCGGATACACTGCAGCAGTATGCTTCAAGAAAACCATCAAACTGGGAGTATTTGTAGCGGGCCTGGGGTTTATTGCTGCGCAGGTACACCACAACAAACAAACAAAATAAATAAACAAATACGTTTCTTCCTTCCTGCAACACTTACAAGACATATTACACAGAGAGCAGGGTCTTAGATGCGCACATAACGAGGCTGTGCCCGTAGCAGGAACTAATATACTTCTTTACTTATCTATCCTCATACATGCATGCCGATACACATACATGCATGCATGCATATATATATATATATATATATATATATATACATAGGTAGATATATGCATGCATGTAGATGTATATATATGTATATATGTATATACATAAATAGACCAGATAGATGTTGGCCTTAACTTATCTATGTGTATATCTATTACATAAATAAGTATATAAATGTGCATGTATATATGCGTTACATAGATTTTAAGGGTACATGGCATGCATCTATCCTGTCCATATGTGTATATGTACATATATACATATACACACATATATATATATATATATATATATATATATATATAGATTATGTATATATATGCTTGCATGAACAGGCGCATGCATTTGCTGCATGAGGAAGAAATCGCTGCGTTTGTTTGCGTTTGTGTTTGTGTTTTGTGTTTGTTTGATATCTGGGGTGTACAGACACTGTCTCACTATGGTTACTTTTCTCTTCCCTCTGCTGAGAAGGTAGGAGGCGCATTGCAGAGTTCATTTGATGTTGTTGTAGGCGCTTCTAATGTACAAGACCCCCAAGCTATTGCATTTACAATCAAACAAATACTACAAGAAAGCAAAATTCCTACTGCTGGATTCTGCTTAGGATTCGCTTGGGGTATACTCAGGTCCTGAAGGGTGTACGCACGTACATCTCAAAAGAGATGTACGTTGTTGGGGTGTACGCGCGTACACCTCAAAGGATATGTACGTTGTTGGGGTGCACGTGTGTACACCCCAATTGAGGTGTACTTTATTGGGGTGTGCGCACACCGCAGAGGAGGTGTACTTTATTGGGGTGTACGCACGTACACCCCAATGGAGTACGTACATACACCCCAAAGGATGTGTACTTCGTTGAGGTGTACGTACTTACACCCCAAAGGGGGTGTAGTTTGTTGGGGTGTACGTGCGTACACCCCAACTGAGGTGTATCTACAGTGGATGTATGCAATTTAAGCTGCTACGCTGCATGCATTAGAAGCAGCAGCAGTTGCTGCTGCTGAGAGTTTATTTACTATTCAAGGGGTTTGCAAAACCTTGAGGGGATTTATTTGTTTTTTAAACTCTTCTTCTCTGTTTTATTTTTTGAGGAGTTGTAATAGATAAACAACAAAATATAATAATATATCAGAAACACCAACTATAAACAACAGCGTATAATATTATTAACAGAAACAAAAACAGTAAACAACAAATAATAATAACAGGAACAACAGCAATAAACAACAGCATATAATAATACGCCAGAAGGCAAAAGAACGAGAGAAAATAATCATATTGCAGAAACAACAACAACACAGAGTAATATAACACATATATTTGTAAACAACAACGTGAATCTCCACTCAATATTTATATTATTTGTTGTTTTAATAAACAAACATTTTCTCTAACTGCGCCTTCTCCTCACTCACTAAGGACAGCATCTGAGGAGCAGCAGCAGCCACCGGCTAATAGAAGGGGGTTGTCAATGAAGCAGTAACAGCAGCAGCAACAGCAGCAAGAGCAGCATCAGCAGCAGCAGCAGGAAGAGCACCAGCAACAGCAAGAGCACCAGCAGCAGCAGC